CTGTACTTGTGCAAGAAGCCGCGAGTGTAGACATAGCCTTAGAGGGGACACTTCCCCCAGCCTCTCTGCCCCTGAGTGAATGTCACACACATTGGGTTAATGCAATTGCAGTATAGTTGCATGAGGGGGGGTTGGTGGGGGCAAAACTAATCCCTCTTGGTAGGAGGATGGTGGGAAAAGTCCTTCAAGAGGGGTGACATGATACCTTTTACTTCTCATGTGTCCATCTTCCCCGAGCGTGTTACCTCCAGAGGCCTGGTTAATGGGGGTCAGGGGCGTGGTTAACAGGGGTCAGAGGGTGTGGCTAATGGGGCACCACCAAAAATTATACAAACTTGCCGCCCCTGCCCAGAAGTGTGCCAGGCGTGCTGTGAGCGGCTGTCTGCACTGCAGGAGGTGTGAGTTGAACATACTGCCTGCACCACGTGGGGTGGTAGGGGTGGGGGTGTTAGCTACATCCAGGGCTTTGCGGGGGAGGTAGCTGGGGATTTTTTGTGTGCGGATTTATTTATTTATTTTGCTCAACCAAAATTGCTGCGGGGCCCTGTCGAAATTGTTCAAATTGGGCCCCGCACTTCCTAAAGCCGGCCCTGGCTATAATGCAGTCTCCATTGGTTCGATACATACTTATAACTGGTTAAATCAATCCACGGTTTATGTGTTTCACAGAATTCTTTGCTGACAAAAAGCAGCACCAGTGAAGAACACTATCACTACTATCTCTAATTGAATAACAGGCTTCATGACAAATGATGACCAGACTTCAGTAATACACACCTTCAACACCTCTTCACTGGACCACACCAATGCAACAGCTTTTAGGAAACTCCAACACAGTAGCACACCTCCTTCTCACCATGAACTACAAGGAGAAAAATAACCCTGCCTTTGCTCCTTTATACTGGCTTCCCATAGGATATCAATTCAAATTCAAGATCTCCATCCTTATCTTTAAGGTACTCAATGGTCTGGAGTCAGAACTCCTAAAAGACCTCCGGAGATAAGACTGCATATAACAACTCCACTTCTAAGGCACACTTGAGCTGAACACCTTAATGGTAATAATACATATATAATGAGATGGTGCCTTAGTTGGGATTGGTCCTGCCTAGGGCAGGGGGCTGGACTTGATAACCTCCTGAGGTCTCTTCCAGCTCTATTATTCTATGCTTTTATTGGGAGTGGACCCAAAGGTGTGGAATGAACTTCCATAGGACATCAACTCACAAAGCTGTACTAAGTACAATGTGTGGGTTTTGACCTATATAGCACTGAAGTCATAAAATAGATAGTAATACATATTTTAAACAAGCCTACAAATTTTTTTCTGTGCTTTGAAAAGAGACAGGCATAAGAAAAGTTAGTGATGTCACTCAATGTACTTTGGCTGTGTCTAGACTGGCAAGTTTTTCCGCAAAAGCAGCTGCTTTTGCAGAAAAACTTGCCAGCTGTCTACACTGGCCACTTGAATTTCCGCAAGAACACTGATGATCTCATGTAAGAAATCAGTGCTTCTTGCAGAAATACTATGCTGCTCCCATTCGGGCAAAAGCTTTTGCGCAAAAGGGCCAGTGTAGACAGCTCAGATTTGTTTTACGCAAAAAAGCCCCGATGGCGAAAATGGGGCTGTACCGGTGGTTCGGAATAGGAATCCGTGGGTGTGTCTAGACTACATGCCTCCTTCGACGGAGGCATGTAGATTAGCCAGATCGGAAGGGGGAAATGAAGCCGCGATTAAAATAATCGCGGCTTCATTTAAATTTAAATGGCTGCCCCGATCTGCCGATCAGCTGTTTGTCGGCAGATCGGG